GGTGGAGACGGAGGTTAATGGACTGAGTCACCATCACTCCGCCGAAAATCTTCAGGATTCCGGTGGGGCAATGAAAAGGAGGATTTGATTGGAGATGAGAAATTAAGGAGTGGGTGGTGGAAAATTACTGATGTGTCCTCGTCCATGAGTGGAGAGCAAAGGAAGGGATCATTGGAATAATAATAATTTGTGCATCTCCTGAATCATGCAGAAATATTTAATTTGTAGTTGTAAACATTTTAAAGTTTTTTTTTGTCTCTTTTTGGACACCGAATATTTTTAAAGTTGTACAATAATTTTGTAATAATGAGGAACACATATGAGAAAAGCTTGATTTTTCTTTAAATTACAAATTTTTCCAGTGATTTGAATATCATTTCAATTTGCTTCCTATGCATTGGAGTATTAATTACTTTCTATAACTTAAACTTAATCTCATAAATCGTCATTGTTATTGCAATATTGAATATGTGACATGTTGTTATAATTACTTAGTGTTATAATTACTTGACTAATTGTATTAATTGACTTGTATTAGAGTTTAAAATTGAGTAAAGAATATGTGAGATTTCCGGTTGGTAAAAGATTGTCTAATTGGATAACAAATTAAAACTTTTAAAACTATAATTAAGTTCAAGAAATAAGACAAAGATCTGAAAATTTTCTGTGAAAATTTTCTGTCTAAATTTTCCATAAGAGAAGACAGTAAAGCATCTTGATTTCTAATTTGTGAAGTTTGAATTTTAATTCAAGCATGTAAAAATATAAGGGTTTATTATTTTTTGTTTCTCTTTTAAGAAAAATAGAAATATAACTAGTTTGGTAATTGTTTATTGTTCATTGTTATACCATTTTTTTATTAGAAAAAGAATATAAAACATATTTTGTAACCATTTTGTGCTTCTCATTTTTCAAAATTTTAAGTTAAAAAAGTATAATTTTATATGAAAATGAATTCCTTAATTAATATTTAAATTTATTTTTTATTTATTTCTTAATATTTATTATGTATTTTATAAGTCAAGAATTATAAAATAATATTTTTATTTACGTAAATTGAAAACAAACCAACAATAAGAAACTTGATTTTTTTTGTTTCTAAAATTTCTACATAATTTTAGAAACNACGGTTAATTATGTTAAAAAAAGAATATAAATAATTAAACAAAAGAGCTCCTCCAAAATAAAAAGATTAGAGTAGTGTCTTTATTTATCACTCTAAAAAATGTGGTCAAATATTTGTTAACAACAAATGTCTACTTTGTTTTTTCCAAACCCTTTTTTAAATTTTCTTTTGAACCTTTCGCCTTTTTTTATTCGGTTATATATTTTTAAATCAAAATAAATTCTTTCTCACTATCTCTCCTACATTTTAACATTTTTATTTTCAGTTCATGTGTTATCCTTTCAAATTTTGTTACGATTTAACCTTTATTATTATTATTATTATTATTATTATTATTATTTTAACGAATTGTATTGCTTTTCATTTTTCTTCTCCCCTAAATTTACCTAATCGTTAGAATACTTTGCTACAGTTGGACCATCTTGAAGAATCATATGTTTTTATTCTACCAAATATTTAAATATATATATATATATATATATATATATATGTTTTTTTTTTGTTACACCTCTAAAATATTTGCACAAATCCAGTTTGAGCTGGCCTTACATATTGGGAATCTGATCTGAAACATTTTTTCAAAATGAATTTATTTATTAATCTATTTTTTTTATTAAAAAATGAATTAAATTGGTTAAAAGTCAATGAGAATCATAATTTTCAATTAAAGAAAGACAGAATATTTAATATAGGTGCTGTCCAATCACTGGTTGCCAGCTCACATAATAAAGCCCATCTCGAGACTCGACGACCCAACAAGGTTATTAACTGTTCAAGCCCACTTGGAAAAATGGCCATTTAGAACCCAAAAATCTYTCGTTTATGAAAGTTTCTTCTTTTTCCCTTTTTTGTTCATATTATTAAATTATATTTTTATCCTCAACACTACAAAGCTTTTAAAAAAGAAAAAATAAATAATCAATGAAGAACAAAGAAAGTTAACATGACCAATTATTTTTGCTTGAATTTCAAGAGAGAGTAATTACAAAAGTTTAAGGTGCTCCCGAAAGCAAAATGAATCTTAATACCTTTTACGCTTTTGAACCACAATAATTGTTAAAAAAAACTTACTCAAATTTTTATTTTTCATCGTTAGAACAAAATAGCATATGTTATGTTACATCCACAARTAATTTGTTACATTGAATTATTATCCTTAATTAACGTTAGAGGTACCTGCCTAGTCCATATTAGACAAAAATTAAAATTTATTATTGTCATTATTATCCAATTGAATGTAATTCATTGCAAATGAATTCTCTAGGGTCAAAACCAAAAACTTCTTCCACTTTCTTCCTATGCAATTTATGGTAGATGAATGTACATAAATCATAAATTACTTATTTTTTATATTAAGTAATATTATTTAAGTTCAATCATATTTATGGGTCCATAAGTTATTTTTAGGGATGCATTCAAAAATTGTAATGCTTTGATTTCAGTGTTCTGTGATTTGATTTTTATAATTTACAAGTTGATTGGTAGGGAAATATTCAAATTTAAAGTTCAAATCCACAAAATTAAAAACTAAGGTTCAAATTGACTTACCAAGACAAACCGAAAAATAACAACAATCTTATGTAAAAGAAAACTCATAACATCTTACATCGTTATTAAGGGAAAAACTTATTTTTCGAAATCATTAGAAATATCGAAAACAAAACAAAACGATGAAGAAGAAACAAAAATTAAAAATAATAATAAGGTAAATGGTCACAATTTAAATAAATAAGGTAGTATACCTAATTTCTTTGGCCAAATTGTGGAAGATGTGTAGTCTAAGAACCTCTACATCCATCAATCCCCATCAACCCTACCTATTTGTTTCCCTCCAATTTCCAAATACACCCCTCCACCTCACATTATTATTTCACACCTTTTTTATTTTCCATTAATCTATTTTTATATTTCTAATTATTTTAATCTCATCCAATACCAATTTTGTTTTTAGTCTTCTTCTGTTGTTGTTTTTTTCTTTCAAAATAATGGTGTTTATTAATAATTTTCTCTTGAAATTTCTTAAATATCTTTTTTGGAAAGAAGAAAAATTGAAGAGGATTTTCAAAAATGTTATGTAAAAAGAAAGTTAATAAACAGGCTTTATTTTCTTGAATAATGAAATGATATTATTTTAGTAAATTAGTTGGATAGCTTCATACCGTGTCATTTTCTCTCTCTCTCTCTCTCTCTCTCTCTCTCTCTCTCTCTCTCTCTCTCTCTCTAATTATTTTTTTTTCTATATTTTGATATTCTTTTTTCTTTAAAATATAAATACCATATAAGAATGTAAAATCCAATAATAAAAGTCTTGTCCCATCACTACACATAATCACAAAATAAATATAAGATTTAAGAGTAAGTTTGATAAGCGTAAGCAAATTGATAAGAAAACTTGAAAATTAATGCCAAAATAGACTTTTTTCCATTAATCAATCTAGCTAACCCGAATAAAGTCTATCTAATTAATGTATTATCTAAATTGACCGAACTAATTGAATTTAATTGATTTGGTTGATTTTTTAGATTTCAACTTTTTTGGTTTTTRCACAATAATTTTAGGTTCTAGAAATATTGTACCAAAAATTAAAAATGGAGAAACCTTGCTATTGAAATATAAAGTTTGGTTATTTTTCAAAAATTTTCAATAAATTCTACTTCAATAACATGCTATAAATATTTATTGAATAAAATTAAATACCAAAACAAACCATTGATTATTCTTAACTAACGAGATAAAGTTTTACATTTACTTCTTAATAAATTATATAAATTTTATTATATTGTCCGATTCTTAACATAAAAATGTTTACCTAACACTAACACACACTTTCAATTCCTAAAAAAAACATTTCAGTAATTACTAAAAACTAATAATTCATTTAAAAAATTACCATTTAGACGACAATTTCATGTAAGACRCAGTCGGAAGGTTCGATTAATTCAAAAACTCAAACTCAATAAAAAATAATCGTTGGGAAAAAAAAAACAAATAGATGGCATAATTAAATAAAGATGAAAATAGTTGTTTAACCATCGAAAAAATAATAATAATAAAATAGAATTAAAGTATTTATTTATATAAACGRCCCATGTGGTCGGTGGGCCCCTGAGGACTATAAAACGGACTCCACAAAGACATGTTTTATTTTCTTTTTCTTTTTTTCTTTTTTCTTTTTTTAATTTTTGAAATTGAATTTCTCAATAAACAAATATACACCTTGCAATTATCAACATAACAATTCCTCCATTATTGCTTCTTCACATCCTCAAGATAGAATTTGTTGTATATGGGACCCAAGCTTAGAAAGAGAAGAGAAGACCTTTCTTTTTTCCTCCCTATACCCTATATAAAAAAAATAATTATTTTTCTTTTTTTTAGGGACATACCCACCATAGAGTGCCCTATATTTTTATGGACAAAGACTCCAAATTATGGTATTGTAGAATGATTAAGCCTTCAAAGAATGGGTTTGGAAGGCAATAATTATTAGGAGCCAAAAGGTGCCCTATGAGGAATGCCTTTTCTTCTCCTTGATGAAATTCCTTCTCTTCTTTCCATTACCAATGCCTCTTTCTTTGCCTCCAAGTCAAACCTTGCATCCCCATTTCTCTTCACTCCTACAAGCTATATACCACACCATTTTAACCAAAATTAAACCAAAACCAATACAATTGTGATTACAACGATCTTTTCTCAAACACAACGACCTGGCTCTGATACCATGTTAAATTGGAGTATTTTCCTATCAAAACCCATATCAAATTTCCCTCTCGACCCCTCAAATATGATGCAATTTGATTCCCATATCCCCCATTTTGATCCAAATTATGAATGTAGCCCAAACAGAGGGGAATTGGAGAAAAGAAAAAAAGTGGGTGATGATGTGTGAGTGATGGGTCACTAACTTATCATGAATTGTGAATGATGATGAAGGAATTGGGCAAAGAGAGAGAGAGAGAGAGAGAGAAATAATGCTAACCTTACAGCCGAGTGAACAGAAACGAAAAGGATCCAATAGGCTTCTGCCACAGATTTCACAAATATGAGCTCCTCCTTTCCCAGCTTTTGGCTGAGGCCTCTCATTCAGAAACATAACTCTTGCGCTATTGATCACATACGTCTGTACTCCACTTATATCCAACGAATCCTCGATCTCTGCCACTCTCACCACATCGTGATACGAAGATCTTCTAATCTAATCAAATGATCAAACCCCCAATTTCAAAATCAAAAACCAACCCATTTCTCCAAATTCAATGCTTGAAAATACCCATTCTCCAAATCCAAAAAAAGGAAAAAAAAAATTGGACTTTTGTTTGTTTGACCTGAATGACTTGGTGGTCGTTGTGGTGGGAGGAGCGGCAATAGAAGCAAAATGCGTCGGCGTGGCAGTCGAGGCAGTACATATTCCGTTCGCTGCGGGCGGCGTCGCCGTGGGTGTGGCAGATTGAGAAGAACGCCGTCTTTAGCAATGGCTCCAGCCACGGCGGCGCCGACATTATTGATTTCTGCTTCATCTTCAAACAATCCGGCAATTAACAATCAACACAACAAAATGGAATAATACGCATTATTCTAGAGAGAGATCAGAGCTGGGAATGTGAAATTTTGGTTACCATTATTATTGTGGGAGGAGCTCAATGTGCGAAAATGAAAATGGGTATCTGAAAAAATGTGATCTTTTGCCTTCTTGTCATTACTCTCACGAGAAGTGAGAGGAGAGAGAGAGAGAGAGAGAGAGAGAGGTGAGAATTGAACAAAATTGCAACAGGCCAAGGGGAAGAGGGGCAAAGGTTAAAGTTTGGGGGAGGAGGGGGTTGTGGACGGTGGAGATGGATTTGGTGGCGGAGGAATATTTGGAGCCGTTGGATGGAAATTGACAGAGATGGMAAAGTTTGGCGCTTACGCTGCTTTTGGATCTTCCTTGCGTCTCTACGTTGGCACGAGGTCGGCCTTTCCTCTACGCTTGACCTTATTCCTCTCACCTACCATCAACGGTTACCAATCCGCCACGTTTCCTCCCACCTGCCACGTGGCCGATTATTACTCTTCTGATCTACACATGGGGCACGTCAAAAAACTTGGTTTTCTCCCCCCACGAGGATCTCGCAAACACCTGCTTTTATGATGTCAAAAAAACCAATTACAATTTACGAATAAAAATATTCCTTCAATTTGTTTGGATTTATTTCAGTTTCATCCCTCCGCTTAGTACCTTTTTAGCTTAAACATAATATAATTATTATTGTCTAATATTTGCTCATTCAATATTCAGTAATTAAACTATAATTGACATAACCAAAACAGAATAATCTAAAAGACTTCAGGATATAATATAAACCAAATAAATTCTACCTTTTAAAAATTTTATAGCATTAAACTATTTAAAAAAAAATTCTTGCGGCTATTTTCTGGTGCTGACGGCTGACTATTAAAGCTAACTTTAATATCATTAAAACAACCAATAAAATTTAAAACTCTCTTTCTTTTTTCTTCAACAAAATTATCTTTCGTTTTTTTAGTGATGGATAAAATAAAAATAAAAATAAAAATAAAATTACCCCCACCCACCCCTTTTTCCATAACTTTTTTCCCTTTTGTGTTTGTCTTTTGTTTGATTCATTTCATATAAGTACACTCAAACTCCAATATCACACATGCTTTCTTTATTTGGCCCATGAAAACAAATCTAAATTTGTGTATGCCAAAACAAAATAAATTAAGTTAAATGATCACCTTTTTTTTTGTCTCAATGAAATGAAAAGGGAGGTAAATGAATAATTAGATAATTGTATAAATTGGGGTTCAACTTTTGCCTTTGATTAAAATATTTTAGGTAAGGTTTTGTGGGTAGGTTTGGTAGCTAAAGACAATTAAAAATTGGCTAATGGTTTGGTAATTTGGTTTGGTTTAATTGGTTCATTTTTCAAAAATTTCCCCAATTTGCCATTCCATGTCTTGTATATAAAGGTTCAATTCATGAGTCCTTTGGTAATTCAAAGCTACATAAAATAACAACCATTTCTTTCTTTTATGGTTGACTGAGTTTAATTTTTAATTTTAAACTAATATGTCACAAATTAAAGATAATTTAAAAGACAATAAAGAGTGATAATGATTAATATTTACATTTTTCCTAATTCTATATATATATATATATATATATATATAAAGAGCTTTGCGGATATTTAAATTTAAATAAATGTTACTCATTATGTATTTTAATATTATTTTAGATTTAGAAGATTAAAAAATCAATTTGTAGAAACTGACAGGAATAAGTCCATGGAAAGCAATGTCTTTTTATTAATAAAACAGTAACTATTCAATTTTATGGATAATATCTCGATAATTGCTTAAAAATATCAAAAAATAATATTTAAATTGAAAAATAAGTGAATCACGCAATCAATTGACAAAAGTGAACATATTATTGAACTTATAACATAATCAATCCTCAATAATTTTACTTTACTCCACTAATGACGAAAATAAACCAACATTATGTTGTTCACTCTTCAATTCTTGTTTTTTGGAAAAAGAAAATCCATAGCCCCTATAATGAGCCAATATAATTTTAGGACAAAATAATTAATAGGTGCAATTGGTGGGTGGGATCAAATCGATTTCCGTACAAACCCGAACCGACCCGAAAATATTTGATTTAAACCTAGGTTGGGAAGTTTTTGGGGATTTTTTCTTCCACTCTCCTCTCCTTCCCCTTGTTAATAAATATCCTTTCAAACCCAAATTGAAAAAAATAATCGAAGACATGACCATTGTCAGACTCAAATGGAACCGATTTCGGTTCGAGTCGGTTCCTTTACCTCCCTAATAATTAACTCAAACCATCTTAACCTGAATAGTTTGTATTTGTTATCAATATGGGCATAGCTTAGCRATTAAGACACCTTGCTCCTTATATAGAGGTTAAGAATTCACCATCTTCACATTTGTTGTATTTAAAAAAATCATATTCATTACAAATATATATAAGAATGTTACAAAGATAATCTACATTAATCTATCAACGAGAGCTTTTAAACTAATTTAAAATAATATTAAAGTAGAAGTTCGTAAGTTCAAACAGCCAAATAGTCCACTTGTTGGGTTTGGTGCTAATAATTTTCAAGTCCACAATCGAGAGTGAATTTTAAAAATACGTATGAAACATTAATTAAAAAGAGAGAGAGAAAACATTGATCAATGTTATATTAAGTCCACCACCTAGTAAAGATCGTTAATGTTAGATAGATATGCATCTCAAACAATTGAGTTAGATCTGACCAATCGTTTAATCTAACCAAACGCACTCGAGCACGCACGAACACATCGAAATATTTCCTCTTCGGTGCAACATACCAAAAA